ATGAGAAGAGAGGACTCACTGGAGAAAAGACCCCGATGCTGGGAAAGACTACTGAAGGCCAAAGGAGAAGGGGGCAGCAGAGGGTGAGATGGTTTAGCTGGTGTTATCAACACAAAAAACATGAGTTTGGGTAAACTCTGGGTCCTGAAATTTTCTGGTCCATGTGGTGGCGAAGAGTCAGACATGACTTAGCAACTGAATAACAACAATCAAACATAGTTATTTATTTTTGAATAATCTTTTCAAAAGTCAAGTGAGATAAGGAGCTGATGGACACAAAAGAAGACCAATTGTACCCAGAGACATCACACTGCCTGCATTTGTCCAACCAAAGACTAATTTTGTTCCTTGTAGCAACCATAACAAAATTCTTGTATATCTGTAATAAAAACAGACAGGTTCATCTCTTGAAGACTGAACAGAGGGAGGGAGAGATGCTGCATTTCATGCCTCAAAAAAGGTCCTTAGATGTTCCTCAAAGTATCTTAAGAAGAAGTCTGGTTCTTCTGATTGAGATCTACTTATGGGTCTACAATGAGCAGAAATTACTCCAGTCGGTCAAAGTGAGGTCTCCCCAGCTATTGCATTCCTGTGGCTTTGAAGCTAGAATAAAATAGAGTTGGAAGGGACCTTGGAGGTCTTCCAGTCCAGCCCCCTGCTCAAGCAGGAAAACCTATGCTATTTCAGATAAGTGACTGTCTAGTCTCTTTTGGAAACCCTCCAGTGATGGAGTGTTTTGCTTCAAGTGAAGATGTCTCTTCAAACTTCTGGGATGAGGAAGCAACTGAGCTGACCTAAAAAACCATCCAGCTTCTTCATTATCAGGTATTTCCCTTGCAGAATTGAAGATCATGGGGAACATCCACCTGGGATGCTGGCTGTTATGGTTATCTTTATTTATGCATCTTATCCAGATTTCTCGTCATTACAACCAACCCCAAAGAACATACAAAGAACCGTTACGGGAATTGGGAATGTCTAGTCTAATGAAAAGAAGGACTAGGGGAGACATGATAGCACCTGTTCCAATATTTGAGGGGCTCCTACAAAGATGAGAGGGTCAAATTGTTTTCCAAAACACCAAAGGGCAAGACAAGAAACAATGGATAGAAACTAACGAAGGCGACAAGCAACCTGGAACTAAGGAGAAATGTCCTAATGGTGAGAGCAATCAGCCAATGGAACAATTTGCCTTCAAAAGTTGTGGGTGCTCCATCACTAAAGGTTTTCAAAAAAGAGCCTGGAAAATAATTTTCTGGAGTAGTATAGCGTCTCCTGCTCGAGCAGGGGTTGGACTAGAAGACCTCCAAGGTCCCGTCCAACTCTATTATTCCATGTTCCATGTTCTAAATGCACATGTCTATGTGCTTGAAATGAGGCATATTATGGTATGTTTAACTGTGTAAACTGAAATGTTTCCCTTCAGTTTGCTTTAGCTGGAGGCAAACCATATGATGAATAATTGGGGAACTAGGTAGTTCTACTTTAACAAAAAAAAGGGGGCGGGTTGGGTGACATGAGCCTTTTAATATTTGAGGGCTGCTCCAAAGAAAAGGGGGTCCACCTATTCTCCAAAGCACCAGAAGGCAAGACAAGAAACCATGGATGGAAATGAATCAAGGAGAGAAGCAACCTGGAATGAAGAAGAAATTCCTTGATAGTGAGAACAATTAACCAGTGGAACGACTTGCCTCAAGAAGTTGTGAATGCTCCAACATTGGAGATTTTCAAGAAGAGACTAGACAGCCATTCATCCAGAATAGTATACGGTCTCCTGCTTAAGCAACAGGTTGGACTAGAAGATCACTAGTCCAGTTGAAAAGTTCCTTTTCAAGCCTGTTATTTTACGTTCTGTGGCTTTCTATGTGTTTGTTATTGTTGCTACTAGACTCAGAGAACTCCAGAGACCTTGTTTCATGGCTTGTTTCTTTCCCTGCTTCCTCCAGCATAAGAATTTGAAGCCGCTTTTAATGCCTGTGATAAACTGGGCCAGTCAGCTCAACAAAACTGGGGTTAAAGAATCGCTGACGACCCTTCAATTAATGTTCTGACAGCTCGATGAGGAGAAATACGGATATAAGGCTGTGAAACTTCTTCCAGTGCTCTTAAAATATTTTCATGACGTAAGTCAACCAAATCACAACAAACTAGTTCTTTCTCTCCCTCTCTCTCTCCCTCTCTCCCTCTCTTCTCTCTCTCTGTGTCTCTCTGTGTCTCTCTCCTCTCTCTGTCTCTCTCTTTCTCTCTCTCTCTCTTCCCCTCCCTCTCTCCCTCCCTCTTTCTCTCACATAAAGATGGCCTTGGTACCATCTGCAGAATTCTAATTTTATAGAAAATGCTTTAAAATAGTTCAGCAACCTTCACTCTAAATTCAATTAACAATACCTAAGTAAACAAGAGTATATTACTTCAAAATAATGGAAGGATATATAGATAGAAAGATAAGGCAAAACCAAAACAGTAATAATAATAATTTCTCCAAATATAAATTGTTTACCCCTATTTGCAACTAGATTTATCTATTTATATACACTATCTTATAATATATCACTATTTTTAAGAGTCAGTTGAATGACTGAATGAATTTAGAGTGAAAATTGATATTGATAAGGTTGGAAGATAGAATTAATTATTAATTATTCTTTTTATTATTAATTATACTATTAATTAATTATACTATCTAATTACTTAAATATTTAATTATTCTAGTTAATGAATTCTAATGTAATTGAGGGAATATTTAATACCTAAATATTTAATACCTAAAAGTAGATAGAAAAGATAAACTATCGGAGGAGGAAGGAAATAGATTTTTGTATGGTTTTGTGGAAGAAACCTTTTGGGAAATTAGATATGTCGAATACAGCAACAGTAACCAAAACTTCTAAGAAACTTACACAAATGACTTCCTCTCCAGCAGGACAAAAACTGATAGGAGATATGTTGGGAGGTGAGAAAGCAGGGACCCCAACAAATCTACAAAGCATACAGACAACTCTGAATATGATTCAGGAGGTACTTCTGAAGACTCAAGAATCGATTGGAAAGAATCATGAGGAATTGAAACACAACATGGACGAAGTTAAAGGCGACACAAGAAAATTAGATGATACACTAGGAGAAATACAAGAGACAATTATTAAGAACTATCAGAGGATCAAAATAGTGGAGGAAAGAACGGAACAGACAGAAAAAAACTGGAGGAGATAGAAAAGAAACTGATGTCAACGAATCGAAAACTTGAGGGGGCAATAATGTTTCTGGAAATGGACAACTCCGCGTTTTACTTATGATTTCAGAATATACAAGAAAATAAAGAAGAAGACTTCCTGAGTCTTATGATAGAGTTGTTGGCTGGTAATCTGAAGATGAATAAAAGTGAGTTGCAACATGGTATTGAGAAGCTGTACAGGGTGCATACTAATTATGCACGGCAGAATAAATTGCCACAGGAGTTACATATACAATTTACTAAAAGAACAACTAGAGACGAAATTTACAGGAGAATGCGAGATACAACATTGACATATAAGTGGCAAAAGATTTTGACTCTTAAACAAATACCTAGGAGGGTAAGGGAGCAAAGACGGAGTTACTGCTTCCTCTCCTCCCAACTTATCAAATATAAAATCATGTTTCGGTGGCTTATCCCAGAGAGCTTGCTAGTGATCTGGCAAGACAAAAAAATTAGATTAGATACAATAGACAAGGCCCGGGAGTTTTATCAACAGTGTATAGTAATAGATGAAGACAGGGAGAGTGGGGAGGAGATAGAGGTTAAGAGTCAGGAAGAAGGAAAGGAGTCGGAAATGGAATTACAGCAGAAGACTGAAAAAGAGCAGCAGGAAAGAATAGGGACAAGGTCAAGGAGACAAACAGAACTGAATTTAAGGAAAAGAAACTAGGGTTGTCAGTAGAAGGTAAATGGATGAAGAAATTAAATTAATTTCAATCAACATCAGTGGTTTAAATTCTCCAGCCAAAACAAGACAAATTCTAGCTAAATTACAAAAGCATAACACAGATATTACATGCCTACAGGAAACCCACATCAAAAGACAACAAGGACATCTATTGGAAGCCCCTAAATTAGGAAACCTATACTCAGCTCTTGCACCACAAAAAAAGAGAGGAGTAGTTATATGCATTAAAGATTGGTTACGACCAAAACAAATTTACGCAGATGAGGAAGGTAGAATTTTATTAGTTGAGATAACAATATGGCAAAAAAAAAAAAAAAAAGATGATATTGGCGGCTATCTACGTGCCAAATACTACACAAGGGGAATTTTATTATAAACTACATTAAAAAATAGCAGAATTGGAGAGTGAAAATATTTGTTTATTGGGGGATTTTAATTCAGTCGTAGATCCAAAACAAGATTATAGATCGGGGAAGAAAAAAACAAAACAGAGGAAGATACTACCGTCTACTACCATCTACGAAGATGGACCATGAATTAAAAAGCTTTGCTGGCTGAGGACTTCTGGGAGTTGAAGTCCACAAGTCTTCATGTTGCCAAGGTCGGAGACCCCTGACCTGGATGACTGACCATTTCCATGGACACTGAGCTGGGAATAGGTGACCTTGAGAATATCAGGTGATTGTTGTCCCAAAGGTGCTTTTCCCAAAAGGCAACTGGACGTCCTTGCTTTTTGGCACCTTTGGCAAACCATGACGTGGATGTTTGAGAGTCACCAGACTTTTAACCAAGTGGATATGACAGTATTTTGTAAATACCGGAAGGAGGTCATTTGAGCCATGCTCTCCTCAATTTGTGGGACACAAAAGAGTAGAGTTAAGTTACAGGAGGATAGAAAAGAAAGGAAGACCAGGGGTGTTTATGGAGGAGAGTTCACCACCGTTGGGTGGCCTCAAAGATCTCCCCAAATTCAAAGTTCAGCATTGAGCTACATAGATTTCCTGCTACTGGAGTGACAAACCTGTTTCTTTTCCTTCTTAGGAAGACCCTGAACTGCAACATATGGCCATGACCATTTTGGAGATGCTACTGAAAAGGGCGAAGGAGGTTCATAGGAGTTATATAGAAGAAAATATTCCGCGGAGCCTTCTTCCACTAATAATTTTGCTGGCAGATGGACGGAGCAAAGAAGTGAGTTGAAGGACCGGGTAACTTAAGCTAACCTAAGGTCTGTCATGCTACCTTCTTAAGGAGACCACTTGTACTCCATGTTCACACAGAGCCATGTGGTTGTATCATATGGACACTCTGGATAATGCAGAGAGATTCTGGATCATCCTGATGTTGTGAGGTCCTTAGTGCTCTCTGAACTTGGTTCTTTTCTTGCAGACCTTTCATAACCCAACTAGGTGACAGCATCAGTACGTGGATGGTTTGATCTCTGCTTAAAACTTTCCTCTCTCTTGAGTTAGGAGAAGGCTGGGTTTTCTCTGTAGAACATGGACAGTATCAGAAGCAGGTGATCTGACTCCATCTTTCCTCCTTTGGCCCAGGTCTCCAGGAACACCCTCAAATCCTGTATCTCCTTCATGAACTAGGGGGATGTCCCGAGCAACCTCTATGACCACGAAATATATGCCAGTCTCCCCAGCATGTATGCGAACATCTGCTCCGTCCTTGTAAGTATGAGCCAAGCTGCCTTGTTTTGTTCCACATTAGAGTATAGAAGTCCCAATTTCCTGGTGATTGGCCCAATGTCACCCAGTCAGCTTTCAAGCCTAAGGCAGGACTAGAACTCTCAACTCTCACCCAACTGGCTATCCTGATTAAGGCAGGACTGGAACTCTCTGTCTCCTCATGATTGGCCCAAAGTCACCCAGGTGGCTTTCATGCCAAAGGCGAGACTAGAAATCACCAGCTCCCGGTTTTGGCCTGATGCCTTAACCAGTAGACTAAACTGACTAGAGGGATTCTTCTTGGGTTTTTGCTCTCTCAGGAACAGCAGAAGTTCCATGCCACCATGAGGACTAGAAACCTTGCTGATTGGTGGGTTTGAGGATTAGAAATGGCAGTTTGTGGAAAAAGGAAGTTATGATGTCACTTGAGAGCGGGGGATGGCATGGCAAAATATAAATGCATTTATATGTTCAGAAGTCATTTCTTTATCCTCTTTCTTTCCCTTTTCTTTTTCTATTTTTTTTTCACTATCTACTACTGGAAAATTAAAAAGCTGCTGGTGCATAAAGCAACTGAAGCAAACTCAGCTCTGAAAGCAGAAGCTGCACTGAATCGCAAAAATTGCACAGTTCAAAAAAATGTTTATTTCCTTATTAAGTGGGGAGAGAGAAGAAGAGGGAGATGGGGAGGAGGGAGGAGGGAGGAGGAGGAGGAAGACTGTGGAGTCCTTGGTGCTCTCTGAACTTTGTTGTTTTCTTGCAGACATTTCATGACCCAACTAGGTAACGTCATCAGTACTAGAAGGGAGGAAGCTTTTCTCTGTGTTTCTATACGAGTGTTCTGCCCCGTCAGTATTGATGGTCATCATCACTGATGATGTTACCTAGTTGGGCAATGAAACTTCTGCAAGAAAACCACTAAGCTCAGAGAGAACCAAGGAGCCCTCATTTCAACCCTGAGCTACAAATGTTCTCTTCTACTGGAACTGCTACACCAGCGGTTAGTCAGAGAAAGTTCAGAAGCTTTGAAGATTAAAGACTTCTGGTTTTTTTCCTCCCTACAAAGCTAAAGAGATGAATAAGAAGCCAAAAAATAAGAAGGGGAATAATGTCCAATGGCTCAGGGAAGATTTCTTAATTTCGGGCTGAGCCTTATTTTACAACAATATTCCTAAAATGGCTAAGGTATGTTTTAGTTCAGCATTTTGCCTTGCTTCTTGTTGATCTTCCTTTCAGTCTTCCTCATGACCTGGAAATAGTCAAAAAAGGTCAATATAACAGTGGGGACGACATGTTCCAAAGGCTGGAGTTTGGACATCCGTCCCGCATAATGTCTAGGAGCAGGCAATTGCAGCTGCCATGTTGTCTTCTTTGACCCACATCCGAATATCACGTGATGGTTGACATGGAACAGGGGTGTCAAACTCAACTTCATTCAGTGCCACATCAGGGCTGTGGTTGCCCTCGGGGGGGGCACTGGGTGGGCGTGACTAGCTTGACACCACTCCCCAAGCTGCTGGCATGTTTCCTCTTTGCATTGGGTAGACTGGGCCAAAGCCGCATTGGGTAGATCGGGCCAAAGCGACGTAGGCCGGCCCCTTACATTTTCCAGGACAGCCCTGTGGGCTGGTTCTGACCACGTCGTAGGCCAGATGAGACCTGCGAGCCTTGTGTTTGACACCCCTGATGTGGAATAAGTCTTGCCTCTGTACATGGTGTGCTTTCTCCAAATCTGGCTCAAAAGCTCTTAAGGGCCCCCTTGGCTTGGAGGGAGAAGGGAGTCAAACCCTCATGCATCTCTGCATGGTTTCCTTTTCTAATTTCCAAGCCTTTGCTGAGTATCTCACACCCCCTCCGGTCACAGACCTGATCCTGAAAACCCTTGAAGCTCTCACAATTGAAAATAACATTTCTCAGGCTGCAGGATTGCTGCTGAACTCTTTCCTGGAGGAATGTGGCATGGATATTGAAGAAGTAAGAAAATGCAGGGTTTGGAGCAAAAGGGATATAGGAGATTTTGTAGAAAACAAAGACGAGAATGGGTGAAACTTTGTTGTCGTGGTGAATGGGAGACCACAAGGGCTGTCATAAAGTTGGGTAAACCTTCCAGAAGAAAGTAAGGGCAAAACAAAATAACCATATTGTTTTCATGAAAACTACATTTGGAGAGCCAGTTTGACCATGGTTAAGGCACCAGGAGAAGTTCAAGTCCTACCTTAAGCCATGAAAGCCTCACAGGTGACTTTGGGCCAGTCACTCTCTCTCTCTCAGCCCACCTCACCTCACCTAACAGGGTTGTTGTTATGAGGAAAAGAGGAAGGGGATGGTACAGGGATGTTAGATATATTCTCTGCTTTGAATTATTTGTAAAAAGAATAAAGGCGGGATATAAGTAAATAAATAAAAATGTTGCCTTCAGGCATCACATCTGGACTAGACTGGGGACAATGGAGGTGGTAGTCCAAGATACCAGAAGACAGCAGCTCAGGAAAAACACAGAAGTGGGGAATTAGCACCAATCCAAAATTTGAACGATGAACCTCAGGATTTCTTGCCAGTGGCTGGGGTGGTCAGTCATCCAAATCAGTCTTTCTGGATATTCCTCATCTTTTCCTGGATTCATTCCAGTTGACATTAAAGAACAAATGCCAAGCAGGGTTATAGAATCCTAGCTTTGGAAGACCTCTTGAGGCTATCCAAACTCACCCTCTGCTCAGGGAAGGCCCAGTCCAACCATTTCAAACAGAAATCACCATCATCATCTTTTAATGACCCCACAATCCCTTGTGGGGTGGAGTCTGGGCAACTGAATGGAGCTAGCAGAGGGTTTAATGGCCGGATACGCTCCCTGTCGCCAATGCGGAGTTTTATTCAGCAGATTAATTTTCATTGTGCCCTGAGAGAGAAATCTCTGCCTCTACCTAGGATCGAACTCACAGCCTCCTGATTTTGAGGCAAGAGCTTCACTTCTGGGCCACCGCACCACTCCGCACCATTTCAAACAGAAATATATTAAGATATTAAGCATCCCAATGGTCACGTGGTAAAATTCAGGTGCTTTGCAACTTGTTCATATTATGATGGTTACAGCGTCCCGGGATCATGTGACACCCCCCCCTCTTTGCGACCTTCTGACAAGCAAAAGCAATGTGGAAGCCAAGTTCATTTAACAATTCTGTTACTAACTTAACAACTGCACCGATTCACTTACTAACCATAGCAAGAAAGATCATAAAGTGGAGCAAAATTCACTGAATGGCTGTCTCGCTTAGCAACAGAAATTTTGGGTTCAGTTGTTGTAAGTCGAGGACTACCTGTATATGTCAGATAGATTGTTTTTGGGGCCCGCAATCACAGTTTGGTGATGATGTTTTGTCCCATTTATAGAGGGCGTCTGCACCTGGCAGATCAGGTGGCTGGAAGATTTTCTGAGTTTTGCCATTTTGGCACTCGGTGCCGAAAAGATTTGCCAACACTAGTCTAGTTTCTTCTTAAAAGCCTCCAGTGATGGAGTGCCCATGATTTCTGGTGGCAAGCTGTTCCACTGTCGAGGACTACCTTACTCCATGCTGGCCTGGGTTTCCTTTTGTTTTCGTTATCCACTTTCTGCCAAGTTTTTCCAAATTCTTCCAGCAGATGGTGGCATAATCTTACAAATCTTCCCTCAGACAAGTTCTGTAAAAAAAATAATAATAAAAAATAATATCAGAATTTGAGTTTGGAATTTTGGAATTTCCAGATATATAAAGTATTCATTTACTTCGGGTCGTAAGCTGCTTCCAATCACCGCCAATTGAAAGTAGTTTACCGCTAGTCATCAACTATTCATTTAATGACTGCTCAAAGTTACAAGGACACTAAAAAATGGGATTTAGGACTAGGTTTCACACAGTGGTGCAGTGGTTAGTGTGTGGTACTGCAGGCTACTTCTGCTGATTACTGGCTGCCTGCAATTTGGCAGTTTGAATCTTACCAGGTTCAAGGTTGACTCAGCCTTCCCTCCTTCCGAGGTCAGTAAAATAAGGACCCAGATTGTTGGGGGGGAAGAGGCTGACTCTGTATACCGCTTAGAGCGGGCTTTAAAAGCACTGTGAAGTGGCATATAAGTCCAGGTGCTATTGCTAAATTCTGTCTGTCTATCACCCACCCACCCATCCCCCATCATCTATCTATCTATCTATCTATCTATCTATCTATCTATCTATCTATCTATCCATCCATCCATCCATTTATCTATCCATCCAGCTAATCTAGCTATCTATATATCATCTCTCATCTCTCTCTCTCTCTCTCCCTCCCTCCCTCCCTCCCTCCCTCTCTCTCTCTCTCTGTCTGTCTTAATGTTTCCACTCTGAAAAGTCATCACAATTTTAAGAATTTGAATAGTTTTCAAGAATTCTTGCAAAAAATGATGCAATAACCTTCTATTGAGCAAGAAGAGGCAGAACATAATAGCCAAGGATCAACAAGCTTCTCAGCTGGATCTTGGAAATTGAGATTGTAAAGCAAGCACTCAATACTCCCCCCCCCCACTTCTTGCAAGGTATCATGCTTCTAGAATTAAAAATTGAGGGTCTGTTCAGATGAGTTCCAAAGCTGGGGAGTGCACTGTATAAGCATCTATTTTCCTCAAGACTTACAGTACATTAAGCTGGTCTTACCTCTCTGCCCTCCACTGAATTCCGTTCAGTCTGGAGCTGATCGATCCAGTGTTCATATTTCTCAAGAAGTAGAAAGACCTCTACTGCACGGCCCTTTCTGCAAATTCCAGGGTTGTAAGCGAAACCCTACAGAGAAAGTTAAGTTAGTTTGGAACAAAGGCATCTGATAAAGAATACTAAAACATGCATCATAGTATCATCATGCAAATTTACTGCTTACATAGGAGCTTGCAGGGTCAACCTGTATATTTCACCCTCTCTTGCCGCTCTCATGGACTTCCATGTTTGGGAATCGAGCGGAATTATTTAGCTTTCTGCATGGTTTCTGTTCTCCATTGTCAGCAGAGCTAGCTGAGATTTCAAAAGGCAGAGGGAAGCTGGCAGGGAGGGGAGAGGTCTGCTTTGCCCAGAAGTCCGTTCAGGTGGGGAGCAAAGCAGGCCCAGGGTCTTTAGGTACCTGGTAGGGCTGGGTATGGGGGGGGCGGGGGGAAGATAGATAGCTGGGCATGCTGCAGCGTCTCTGCAGTTGGTCATAAGGACAAATGACGGTCAGCTCTGTAGAATTTGTAACTTTGCAAAAGGGTCATATGTGGCTTGTGTGTGTGTGTGTGGGTGTTTGTTTGTAACTTTGAATTGCCATTAAGTGATCTGTTGTACCTTGAGGACTATCTGTACTCTTTCAATATTGAATTATATTTTTTTTAAAAAAAATCATTTAGATCAAACAAAGATACTGTGGAAATAAGAAACCAAAATTAATGACATTAGGTCAAAAACATTTGCACTAATTTCAGTTAAATTTGTTATACCTGGTTTTTTATCCATCTATGTCTAGAGCCATGTATATAAGATGGGAGGCCTATAAATTGATTAAACAAATATGCACATACCATTGGAAATCCATGATGATATTCCAATATAACGTGCAAGGAATCTTTATCATGCAGTATTTTTACATATTTTTTCCCTGAAATTGTGGTCTTTAAAACAAGAGAAATATTTAATATCTACTACCAACCTGTCCTATGAATTTTTCTGCAGACTTTGCCTGATGTTCAAGAGAATTGCACGGATGAAACTTTATGAGGCTGGAGATGCACAAATCCAATATCCCAAGTTCCTTTTCCTTTTGTAGACCCTCGTAAATCCTAGCAGAAAAAAGCAAGTTTGTCTGTTAGTTTGGAATGATATGCATTTAGGAAGAAAGGCATCTGATAAAGAATGATAAAACAGGCATCACAGTATCGTCATGCAAATTTACTGCTGACATAGGAGCTTGCGGGGTCAACCTGCGTATTTCACCCTCTCTTGCCCCTCTCTTACACTTCCAAGTTTGGGAATCGAGCAGAATTATTTAGCCCTCTGTAGGTTTTATGTTTATGGCTTTTGGGGGGTGGGGGGTGTCTTTGTTACTTCGCCCTGCCTTTAAGTGACCTGTCGTACCTTGAACACTACCTGTACTATGAAATTTGGCACACTCCATCATTCAACAGTGAATTGTGTTTTTTCAAAAAATCATTTAGATGAAACAAAGATACCGTGGATATAAGAAAACAAAACTAATAATATTAGGTCAAAAACATTTGCACTAATTTAAGTTACATTTGTTATACCTGCTTTCTTATCCATCTAAGTCTTCCGTATATTTCTTCTGGTTTCCATTTTAAAAAAGCTAAGCTGTTGTTATTATTCTTATGTAAATAAAAATATGTATTATATGTATTCATTACATGTTAAAATGTGTATTCACTGAGTTATAGTCAAACCTCTATTTACTGAACTGAGAACCTGCGGGTCCCTTTTACTTCTTCCTTATTGTTCCTTATTTTCCACTTAAAGTTTCAAGTTCTTATTCTTTTCATAAGTACACATTAGATATTGCTTCAGGCTTAGCATATTAGTACAGCATCATTAAACATTTTTGAAAAGCACAGAAATATGAAAGAAATGCCCACCACAAAAGAGCGATAGCCTTCACTGCATTTTGGCAATTTATCGTCTCATGGTGGCATGTTGGTGTCTCCCTTAGAATGTTCTATATAAGAGAAAGATTAATTAGGAAAGCAATTAAATTCAATAGAATCTAGATTTAAGTATACATGACAGTAATCTCTGCAACGAATAAAACTCCCCATTAATTTCTAGATAATTCCTATGAAAAGTATACATAAATTGGTGGAAGGAAAATGGAAATACTTTGTCAGATTGTCCCTTCCCATTCTCAATGGGGTGTGTGAAGGTCCTTTTTATACAGATGCTATACAGATGCTGACACTGTCCTCAATGGGAAGACCACTGCATTCAGCACTGATGAGGGAGAAACAATCACTGATATCTCATTAATGACTTACATTTTACATTAAGTAAAATAGCCAACGCTCCCAAATAGCTCTTTAGGAGAAAAATAGTTTTCCTCACATGCTTTATTGTACATACCTTCAGATAATTCAAGGTTTGTAATTTGCTCTTCATGGAAATTCATCATCTGTTATTGTATCAGTTGCCTTGCTCAGCAGTATCACATACCAAGGAAGGCTGAATTCACGGATACATCCTAGGACCGTGATGGCGAACCTGTGGAACGCATAGCCATATCAGTGGGCATGCCAGCTCAGCTCTGAGGCGCATGCGCACGCTGGCCAACTGATTTTCGGGCCTTCTGGGCCCACCAGAAATAGGGAAACAGGCTGTTTCCTACCTCCGGAGGGGCTGGGGAGTGGGTGGGGAAGGCCTGTTTTTCTTTCTTACCTGGCTCCAGATCCTCTCTAGGCATCTGTGGAGGGCAAAAACAGCCTTTCCCACTCCCTCAGAGGCCCTCAGGAGGCCTGAAAGGGCCCATTTTCCAACTGCCAGTGGGACAGGAAGTGATGTTTTTTGCTGTCCCCAGCCTCCAGAGACTCCTAGAGAGGCCCCTAGAGGCTGGGGACAGCAAAAAGCGTCACTTCCTGTCCCACCGGCAGTTGGGAAATGGGCCCTTTCAGGCCTCCCAGGGAGTGGGAAAGGCTGTTTTCGCCCTCCACAGATGCCTAGAGAGGATCTGGAGCCAGGTAAGAAAGAAAAATGGGCCTACCTGGCCATCGCATGCCAAGAGCGGGGGAGGGGGGGATTGCACACGCATGCACAGGGCAGGGCGCATAGAATTATGGGTGTGGGCACACGCGTGTGCAAACCTCCCCCGCCACCCCCCTCTCCTGGCACGTGATGGCAAAAAGGTTAGCCATCACTGCTCTAGGAGATGTAATGGATTGGTGTGCCAGTTAAGGTTTAATAACTGGATATCATCTGTGCATTGTGATCAAAACCTGGCTCACCTTTTATTTATTTTATCTAATAGGTCATCAGGTCAGCTCTAATATATTTGACGTGTGGTCAATGAACGTAAATAACTTGGTTTGCTGAGCCTCTCCGATTCCTTTCTCTCTGACCAGTCAGGCTCAATTCAGATGGTTGTGAAGCTTTGCTTACAAGGCCCTTTTGGCAGTACACGTTTGCAGGGGCATCTCGCAGTTTGGTAGGGAAGTCACCTCACGTGTGTATGTGTGAAGGGATAGCTTTTATCAACACTGCTTGTGGCATACCTGCTTCTAAATACACAAGTGGTTCTAACAAGCTGTCTTTGAGATGCCACCTCTTGTCATGGAAGCACTAAATATAAAATATAACACTCCTGATTTGATTTTATATAAAACAAGAATTCTAAGCTCAAATGCCTTCGAGAAATTAAAAAAGAAACGGCCAACAACTGACTGAGAAACAAATGATTCACAATAGAGAGTCTAGGTGAAATAGAATAGAATGAGTGAGTTGGAAGGGACCTTGAAGGTCTTCCAGTCCAGCCCCCTTCTCAAGCAGGAGAACCTACACTATTTCAGATAAGTGACTGTCCAGAGTCATTAGAGTCCTAGGACCTAGGATATCAATAATTAACATTATGGTGGTTTTGAAAAGTATAAAATCAATAGATTTCAAATTAGGAGAAGCAGACAAAATAATTAGAATCATAGGTGAGTATTTGCAAGACAGCTTCTCTCTGAGGGGACACGCCCGTCCCACCAAACCAGACAGGGTGTGTTCCTCCAGGTCCTCTCAGTCAGATGTTGTCGTCCCAAAAGACCTACTTAGCATACATTTCCAGAGCTACCCCTGCCACGTGAAAGAAGATTTGTGTCAAACCCAGTATCCCTCTTGCTGCCATTCCCGGATTTCTTGACAAATCCTGACTAGGAATTGTTCTCCTGTAAAAACAGACATTCTCTGTCCAAGGGGGAGAGTGTTTTCTAACCAGAGTGTTTATTGTGAAAAGGGTTCGTTGTCTGCTAATTTTGCTGCAAGAATTCAGATTTTTAAGCCCTAAAGAAAGCGCATTTCATAGCACGAGCACTCACCTGTAATTGCAAGAACGTATCTTTGAAGAGAAAAAGGAGAGCAGTTGGTAGATTGAAGGATATAAAGAATCTTCAATCGGAAGGCCCTATTTTAGGAAACATTACAATCAGAATAGAGTTGGAAGGGACCTTGGAGGTCTTCTAGTCCAGCCCCCTGCTCAAGTAGCAGATCTTATACCATTTCAGACATGAGACCGTTTAGTCTCTTCTTAAAAACAGATCCACAACATTCCTTCTGCCCAAATTTGGTGCACTCCTACAAAATGTCTCCACGGATTTGAAAAATCCTGATGCAAAACTACAGAGTATGTAGACATGTTTTATTAGAGGCTAAGAATATAAAAGTCAATAATTAGTTCCTCATTGTTATACCTGTTAAACTATTTCTCAGTTCTGCAATTATGATTCTTTGGGGCTTGTCCCTTTAACAGCTTATGAGTTTTAAGAACAATTCCCTCTGATTCAAGACCAAATACAGGTAATCCTCAATTGAACCCAAAATTTCTGTTGTTAAACAAGATATTTGTTAGGTGAGTTTTGCCCCATTTTACGACTGCTTGGAGGGGTGTACTGGGGTTAATGGTATATTTTTCAGCTAAATGGGGCAGCATATGATCTTACTCCACAGTGAAGACTCACATGCAAAAGCCAACCTCAGTACATCCAGTTCCATAGCTTGCAAAATAGGAGTTTCGCATGTAATTTATTAATGTTTAACAGGTCTTTGATTTGGGGAATATCCCTATTACATTTACTGTAAACAGGGAAGAAAAATGCCATGCCCTAATCCTTGGTAGAGGAGCTGACTTGTTCATAAAAGCATATAGTACCAAAATTCATCTATGCTAATCAGCATCACATTTGAACATAAACGGGATCTATCCACAGTGAAAAGTTATGCTTTCTGATATTAAATAGTGCTCAGGTGTTAACAGCATCATTATATCAGCAAAATAAAGATCAATTAAATGATTGAAATAATTTAAATAAGGATCACATTGTTCAAGAAACTGCTATTAAAATAAGCCAAATACTTATGGCATCTATCACAAAAACTTTTTATCAAATTGGATATCACGGATGAATTTCCCTATTGCATGCTGCTAAACTGATAGATATTATTATTAATCCCTTTAAACAACCAAAGAACTCTGCATTGGTGGATTATAAATATAATGAACTAGTAATTAATTTTGTGAATAAAATTCTGCTTTTTTCCCATGCTTAAAATTCTGTTTTCAAGGAAAATACTGGAGAAAAGGGCGCCTTGTCTCCAAAAGGAGGACTGAGCCTGTTCTTGATCTGTAAAAGTAAAAGACCTGTGATAAATGGCAAATCGATTACAAAAACAAAGATCTGAAGTAGATCTTCGTTTAATCTAAAATGATTAGATTACCAAGATTTTTGTTCTTTACTCCAAAAGCTTGGAATAGCTTTCAACAGCCACTGACTAATGAAACTTAGGCAAAGGAAGGAGAAACAGATTCCAGAAGGAATGAATAAAAACCCCAGGCCAAAGGCATCATCTGAAAAAAAAAAGAAAAGAAAGAAAACTATCTAAATAACCCTTTGGAGATCCATTTTGTTGCCAGGATGATAAAGATTCATTCCCAACTTGGCTTTTGTAAAGGAAGCGTCCCCACTTTTATTTACTCAGCCGAGACCTTCCAGCGGCCAAATGTGGGAAGGAAAGAAAATAATAATGCCATTTGTATGTCTGCCTGAACGTTCTCGGACATTTTGTGTGGTAAATCAACAGAGGTTTTGTCAAATTGGCTGCGAGGCTTCCCTCTGTGAGGCTTCACCTGTCAGGCGCTAATAAAGAGCCCCTCAGAGTAACTGTCGCTTCTTCCATTTTGTCCTCTTCCTATCGCTAACTGGCACCACCAGGCGGTTAAAGGCCGGCCGGTTGAGTGCGCATGCGCCTCTCTTTTTCCCACTCATTTTTCCTACTGTTTCGTCACTGAGGGGAAAGAGGCAGGTGAAGAGCAGGTGAAGGGCGAGGCAGCGGCAGTGGGGCCAAGTGAGGGGCTCCTCCAACCCCTGGAGGCCTCCCCCAGCCTTCAGGGCCCATGGCGGGGATGAAGAAAGGTCTTCTGGCAGCTGCTGCCCGGTTTCCGTTGCTAGGAGTAGCCTCAGCTCCTTCCCTCTCAGGCTCCTGTCGCTTCTCCGATTGGTTGGGGCAGGCGATTGTTCAACAGGTGGGTTTTTCTTCCTCCTGGAGGAACGGGGGAGAAAGCTATGGGGAATGCCTTCCTGCCTGATCAGAGGCTGCGAGGGGAGAAGGACCCTCCGTGGCTGAAAAACGTAGATGGACATTGGCCTGGAATGATGTAAGTGGAGCCTCCTGCTTGTTCAAGGGGGTGGACTGGATGACCTCCCGGGTCCCTTCCCACTCTGTTCTTACCCTGAAATGGGGTGAGGCGTTTAGGGGGGGATGCCAGGGTCCCCTGTGGTGAAGCCATAAGCTTCACATAATAAGAGCGGGTTTTTTTTCACCTTTAAACATGTTTTCGGATTATGGTTCCCCCAAAGATTTGAATCAATATTTATTTCTTGTACATTGTCTGTTAAGTCTGTCGACATCCATATCGTATCTATTCTGGACCATGAACAATTGTCTATTTGAATAAAAAGTATATTGTTTTTCTTTCAAATGGCTATTTCTCCATACATCTTGTACACTAATTCCTCTGTCATTTTGAAAAAAGTCTTCAGGAGAGTTTTCCTGGGTTTCTTATTTACTTTTGTCATTTTATAGCCCAAGTCCACATCAGTTACCGCATTGAAATCACCCATTATACATATATTTTCATATTCCAATTCTATTTTTTTATGTAGTTTCCCATAAAATTCTTTCTGTTTATCATTTGGTACATATAAAGCTATTAAGAGTATTTGTTTAAAGTTCATTCTTACTTCACCATCAAAATCCTTCCATCTTCATGTATAAATATTGGTTTAGGTTTTAGTTTTTCTTTTATGTATAACACTACTCCTTTTTTACTTTGTTGTCTTAATGAAGTAAATAAAACTCTTAATAAGAATAGAGTAGAATTGAATGGGCATTCATTCTTCTGGACTGGGCCATGCATTCACTGACTGGTCATCTAATTTCTCCAATCAGCAGGTTGGCCTTGTGCTGTACAGATGGCAGTGGAACTTCCCATGGAAGAAGAGCTGGAGAAATGTTTAGGATCCCATCCATTGCTCTTGCCAGATGTTTGGATGTGAATCTCTTAGAAGAATATTCGAGCAAACCTTCAAAATCAGCTCCTCTTTGACCTGAAAGGAGGAAAACCAATTTTATTAGTTGTCTCATTGCCTCATCAATTCTAATGAATAAAATCTTGGCATAAGGCCATAAAAAAAGTATGAAACCTAAAGCCAAATTCATTTAAGAAGTTACTTGTTCTGTCCAAGCTTACCTTCCGGGGGAGATTCGGGGCTGCATTGCTGATTCCTCTGATGTCGCAATTCCAGATTACGCTGCTGTTGTCATTTAGAAGGACCTTCAGAGCAAAAAAGACTTTTTCCATAAACGGTCGATCTTTCCTCTGGAAGGGCCTTCCTATAAACTGAACAGAACAATGAAGAAGGATAACTTGTACTCCAAGTAAGCAACCAATGAAAGTTAAGACTGACACGAAAAGAGAACTTAAAATGTGGATTTGAAATTCTGATGGTTGGGCCCCTTCCATGGTCACATGACCAAACTTTGCACATTTGGCCACACCTGACTGCGTTTTAAGATGCTGTTGCCAAAAACCAGCCCTGACCTTTGTTTTAAAGCAAAACCATGCCCATAGGAAACTATTGGTTTGCATCATGATGATGAATGCTTAACAACCTCCATAAAAAAGGTCTCAAAATCTGGTTGTTCAGATGACCGACATGTTTCATGGCTGGTTATGTCATACCATCGTAATGGACAGGTTCCATTACAGTTGTGTGGCAGGGACAACGTGAAGTTGTTTCTCCCCAGTTGTTGTTCCGCTTTCATGCCTCTTTCCTTGGCCCTGTGTGATGCCATTGGAAGAAGCAAAGTTGGTATCAAAATGTAGGGAAAAAAGAATACAGCCTTAAATGTATGAATTTCTCCCCTGCAGCTTCCCCCATCTCTATCCTCCTTTTCAAGCTGTTTCTTGAATTCTTACGTAGCAGCTACTTACCTCCACAAAATAAGCTGAGAATACTAAAAAGCCTCTATCTGCAAAGGCTGGTTACTTCCTAATTCCCTACTCTATTTTCAAGGGAAATAAGGGCATTTCTTGGTCAGGCCAATCGTCTCTCAATACTCTCCATATTTATCTATTTGTGAAAAACATACCTCTGCAAAAAATGCAGCGTAGTCCTTCCTTGCAGCCTAGTTTTCCAAAAAGAGAAAAGGAAATACATGAGGAATCAGCCTCCGGGGAAATCCATCCATTGCACACATCCTCATTGCTCTGAAAAGGAGAAATTGCACATAGTAGTAGTACTAGAAGATCTCCTTCCATCTGGCCAGGTTAACCACCATCCTTTAAAGCCTAAAGAAGAATTCTGTACATTACCTTCCCAGAGAGGCAAATCCTTTATGCTGCTCCTCAGCATTGATTAGCATCTCCCAGCCGTGGTCTTTGCTGATAGCCTCCAAAATGTGGGCGTCTGTCTTGCCTATTCTCAGGATGGTCTTCAAGGCCTCAACTGCCACACTGCAAGTAAATACATGACATGGTAGAGTTGGTCAATGGCCCAATTCTAGTTCCATGCATCAGATGATGGATCAGGGAGGCTGAATTTCTCTGAATTACCTGCAGGGACTACAGGTGGTGTTGCCGCCCAGTCTCCCAGTTGCGAGTTCTTCTCTGCTGGCTCCCGGAATGTAAAAGAACCAATAAAAAAGAAGACTTTCCAGTTTCCCTTTTATTAGTTCCTCCCTTTTCAGGACGGTGATGAAGTCCCAAAGGGTGGCACACAGCTGTTGGGAGAGAGAAAAAAAGAGTTGGGGTTCTTACCTCTTCTACCAAAATCACCCCTGAAATGGGAAGTGGAGAGATTCCTCAGACAATCAACTTACTGAATTGGGCAGCTGGAAAGCTGTGCCCTTTCCCAGTTCTTCCATGGGGGGAACCTTGCTCAGCAGGCAAGGGAGGACTTTGGGATGGAGGGAGGCATCGGCAGCCAAGCAGCTCCAGAGGGTTCGGATGTCACTATTTTTAAAAAATACGTAAAACAGTTATGTTATTATTACTGAACCATTAAACTCTATCAAACAGGGCTAAAACAAAAAATTAACATGCAAAGGGCTTTAATTATAATGAAGACACTTTACTAGATCACTGGTCCCCTTGGGACTCCAGCCCTTAATGATTCAAATATTTCATGGTTTTCAGAACAGTGTATTATTATTTATTAAGTGTATTTATTTATTATCCTTACCAGTTGTCATAGTAGGCACACATCAGGAGTGTGTCAACCGCTTTTTCGGGTTCCACATACACCAATGTGGCCATGAACCCTCTCACAGCTTTCTTCACTTCTTCATCATCGCTGCTCCTCAGGATGTGGAACATGCTCAACAGAACATGCTCGAGCTAAAGAGCCAAAACATTGGAGAGAAAACTCATTAGAAAGCATGACACGTTCGATACAAGATATATAAGATATTCAACCTACTCTACACATAATTTACCAGTTGCTATTAGTCTATTTTTCCCCTCAAGATTCTGAACACATTTAATAATAAGTGATTGTTCACATCCAATCAAATTTGTACAGTACTATTATTAATAAAATGCATTGTGTCTAAGACTCAAGGAATTAACAATCTTCTCTCTCTCTCTCTCTCTCCCTCCCTCCCTCCCTCCCTCCCACCCTCTCTGTCTCTCACATCTTACAACAACAAGACGCAACCAATATGAAACCAATATGGGTGAAATTCACCCTTTTGTGATGGGCTTATTAACTTAAGCATATTTTACCCATTCGTAGAGTGAATGGCCTTGATGGAGCAGCACAAGTTTCAACACATCCCTCACAGCATCAGACCAAATTTCATCCCGCAGCGTTGTTGTTAAGCTGACTTGAACGAAAGATAACAGATCTTTGTGAAGAAGCGACTTCATAATCATCTGTGAAGGAAAAGTAAAATAATATATTAAACAGAAAACCGACTGGAATTCTCGAGGTTTAGTGAGGCAAATAAGAATGTCATTTTCCATCAGAGAAGGCCCCCCCCCAAACTATCTATTTGTTATCAGTGTGAAAAGAACTGTATATGAGCGTGAATGCATTCCCACGTGAATGCATGCAGACCGATAAGGAAATATGCCTGCAGTTTTAGGGGTGGGTCACTCAGAAATACCTCTTTTTGCAATCTAATGTAAACATGGTTCAGAGACAAAAGTTACGTGGTTGCTCTGAACTGTACTCGATGCTTTGAGCATCTTTTGAAGCTTGATTACTGGATGAGTCTTCAAGGTGACATGGAGCAGCTCTTCAAGGCAAACTTTGACAGGTTCGCCAATCTTTTCAGTGGAATAAAGTCCTCAAAATGAGTTTGTCTGTTAGTTTGGAATGATATGCCTTTAGGAACAAAGGCATTTGATAAAGAATGATAAAACAAGCATCACAATATCACTAGGCCAATTTGCTGCTGATGTTGGAGCTTGTGGGGTCAACCTGCATATTTCACCCTCTCTTGCCCCTCTCATGCACTTCCAAGTTTGGGAATTGAGCAGAATTATTTAGCCCTCTGCATGATTTCTGTTCATGGCTTTTGGGCTCTGTGTAGGTATGTGTCTTTGTTACTTCAACTTGCCTTTAAGTGACATAGAATAGGATAGGATAGGATAGGATAGGATAGGATAGAATAGAATAGAATAGAATAGAATAGAATAGAATAGAATAGAATAACAGAGTTAGGAGGGACCTTGGAGGTCTTCTAGTCCAACCCCCTGCTTAGGCAGGAAACCCTACACCACTTCAGACAAATGGTTATCCAATCTCTTCTTAAAAACTTCCAGTGTTGGAGCATTCACAACTTCTGCAGGCAAGTTGTTCCACTGATTAATTGTTCTAACTGTCAGGAAATTTCTCCTTAGTTCTAAGTTGCTTCTCTCCTTGATTAGTTTCTAACCATTGCTTCTTGTCCTACCCTCAGCTGCTTTAGAGAATAACTTGACATCCTCTTCTATGTGGCAATCCCTGAGATATTTGGGTAAGATATTGCATAAGAGCACCAGCGTGCCTACCGTCCTTGTTCTAATGTTTCTTCTATTTGTACCTATTTTATGTATCCAATCCATGCTTATACTTATTACCAAATACGTTCTTGACAAATTAAATAAATAAAATAAATAAATAAATAACTGTTATCATGTCACCCCAGTCCTTCTTTTCATCAAACTAAACATACCCAGTTCTAGCAACTGTAATTTATATGATTTAGCCTCCAGTCCCCTAATCATCTTTGTTGCTCTTCTCTGCATTCTTTCTAGAGTCTTAACATTTTTTTTACATCGTGGCGACCAAAACTGGATGCAGTATTCCAAGTGTGGCCTTAGCCTTACCAAGGCATTATAAAATGGTATTAACACTTCACATGATCATGATTGTCCACTAGGACTCCAAGATCCCTCTCACAGTTACTACAATTGAGCAAGGTACCATATATACGGTACCTGTGCATTTTGATTTTCTTGCCTAAATGTAGAACCTTACTTTTTTCACCATTGAATTTCATTTTTTTAGTTAGTGCCCAATGTTCAAGTCTGTCAAGTTCCTTATGTATCTTAAGCCTATCTTCTGGAGAGTTGGCGATTCCTGCCAGCTTGGTGTCATCTGCAAATTTGATGAGTTCCCCAACTATCCCCTCGTCCAAATCATTGATGAAGTTGTTGAAGAGCACCGGGCCAAAAACAGAGCCTAAGGGTACCCCATTGCATACTTCCCTCCATCTAGATGCCATTCCATTGAGGTCTACACATTGAGTGCGCTTGGTCAGCCAGTTATGAATCCATCTAGTGGTGATGCTGTCTTAACTCACATTTTTCTATTTTATCAGGTAGAAGGTTATGGTCAGTGGTGGGATTCAGCCAGTTCGCACCACTTCGGGAAAACTGGTTGTGAACTTTCTGAGCAGTTTGACAAATTGGTTGTTGAAAGAAATCATTAGGGCAGAGAACCGGCTGTTAAATTACTTGAATCCCACCATTGGTTATGGTGTACTTTATCTTGAGCACTACCTGTATTATGAAATTTGGCACACTCCATCATTCAATAATGAATTATATTTTTTTTTAAAAAAAACCAACCATTTAGATCAAATAATGTGATAATAAGAAAACAAAACTAATGACATTAGGTCAAAAACATTTGTAGTGATTTCAGTGAAATTTGTTAT